CCTAGATATTATCTCATACTCACAAAGTCTGAATTGATCAAGAAACTAGAAGGATGCATGTCCAAAACTCTGGCAGGCTTGTACTAGAGAAACTAAAACATGCCTCTTTTTAAGGAAAGTTGGCTCAAATATCCTTAGAAAGAAGAAATGGAGTTAACTGAATTGAGGTCTGCTTAAATCCTCTTTATTTCTGTAAAATACATGGTTAGAAATGCTGCCAAATTATGGGTTCACAAAGATGCGATGATAATGTAAGATTATCGGAGCTGTGTACTCTCCTTTCATCATACTCATGTTTTCTGGTATTTCTACAGTGAAATCATAGAACTTATAAATGACTAAAATAATGTTTTTAAAGGAAAATAAAAAAGAGCCCCACTCTGAGCCTCCTTTTCTTCCATACACTAAGAAATGGCTGAAAGAGATGCAATTGTCCTTCTGATAAAACAACAGAATTTTGTACTTCCCCAGTGCGCTAAATGTGCATACTTAAATATTTAAACACAAGCCTTGCCTATAACATGAAGTGAAGTGCACACAACACCCTACCTTTCTCTAAGAAAAGTAGTTAAAATCTGTTTTTATAAACAATTTATTTAGTTAAAAATTTTACTTACTGAAGAACTCTCAAAAGATGTTCTAAACTCTTTCAGGTGAATCTCTCAATAGACCATACTATTTTGTTTAGAATAAAGTAATTTCACATAAATACCCCAGCAGTAAGAAGCCTTGGACTGGGAAAGAATGGATGATGTGTCCATGGAAGAGGAGAGTGAATTAAAGGAACAACAGCAACAACAACAAAAAGGCCCCTTCTTTGCATTAGTAACCATACCTGAATTAGCGAACCTTTTCTATTAGCCAAGAGAATGAATGACTCACATTCTCTTCTAGAGCATCTTTTCTATTAGCCAAGAAAATAGCAGATTCACATTCTCTTTTTGCTAAATACTCCAATGGGTATACTACTTTTTATACCTTATTTTCAGAATCTGTTATATATCTCATGTAAATTTTTGTATTTTGATGGGTAAAGCCAAGTTAGATGATGTAATGTATAATGTCTAGAAATACTGGATCATTGAAAAAGTCATGACATATTTTTCTGTTTTTGTATGCAAAAAAATGTCATGACTTTTCTGATGACCCAATTAAAACCTATCACTAATCAAAATATTCATTAAAGTCAAAATGACTACATTTAGAACTATAAAGTGTCAGAACTAAAAAAGGCTAAAAGTTAATAAAATGACTTAAATATTTTTCCATCCTCTCGCCAAAACTTAGTTTCATAAGGACAGTTTCCTACCAATTTAAAGAAAGGCCCTCTGGGTTCAGAGTATTCTCTTTCAAAGGGATATTTTCAAAGAGAGTATTTTTAGATGAGCAAGCTACCATTAACAGACTTGATCAAATAAATCAACCAATTAAACCACTTGAAAGTAAAAATTTTGTTCGGCTTTCTAAGTCATCTTAATCATAGAAAATTACCAAATCGACCAAAGTTAGTTATATTCCTACTAATATATTAAATTACAGTCTGTGTTGCTGTCATTTAAAGTGTACAATTCGCTTTGCTTCAATTAACATAACACAGGAGGAAACTTTTAAAAGTTTGTGGAAAATTGAATTAAAGTACAAATTTATTTTTTTTAAGTTGAAACCCATCCTCAACTCTTTCATAATATGCACGTTCCACAACATTTTTTAAAACTCTGTACTTTTGCCACCTAAGCTGCTTCTCACTTAAAGATTTTAGTGGCTTTCAAGGTCAAGTGGCCTAAAGGGGCAATTCAGGGAACAGCTATGAGTGAGAAACTATTATGAGAGGGTTAGCAGATAGATGAGTGTGGTTGTGAGTTAAAAGCAGAGAAAAGACAAAGTTAATTTACATCAAGGGCTAGACCTTATTTCGTCCCTCAAATCCTGAGAGCCATTAGGGACTAGGAAATGTAAGTACCAAAAGGTAGTAATGATGTATCCTGAGTGAGTTTCCTTTGGTTGATAGTAGTTTGATTTCATTAAAAATAATCATGATTTTCATAAGCCTTGGTTCATGCGAAGATCTTAGAAACATGTCATAAACATCCTTTAGAGTTTACAATTTGGTATAATGGCAAGTATGACCCTTATTTTAGTGAAAGAACTATACCCATTCCCATCCCACACACCACATTTCTCTCTCAAGCCCGGCTTCTATGTAGAATGGAAGCCGTGGCTAAGGTAAGACGGGGATGAGTCTTGGGTATAGAACAGTTTCAAATGTAGACTCTGGGACCAGGCAGCATGGGGAAATACAGACCACAATAAAATTCACTGTTCTGCTCCTCAGTTGCCCTCATCCAGAACAATGAGGATAATGAGTATTTACACTTCAGAGAGTAGTTGACAGGATTAAATGAGATCATGACAGTATAAGAAATGAAATTGACGATTATTATTCTGAAGTACAGACATTCTTTTAAAAACTATAATTTTGAGTCTCCAATTCAACAAGAAAGATTAAGATGTATTTGCTACTTAAGTTAAAAACAATGTAAATGTTTCCAAGAGTTTCATATCAAACTAAGACCCCTAGAGGACAAATAGATGGGGATTATTCTGTCACTAAAAATTATAAATGAAATTCATAGCATCATTTTGAATTTTTAATGGAAAAATAATTCTTATTGTTCATTTGAATCAGTGGTCTTCAAACTTCAGTGGGCCTGAGTAGTCCATGGAAGGCTCGTTAAAATACTGACAGGACGTTGGGCACCCCAAAGTTCCTGATTCACAAGGGCTCATTCAGCGGGTGCCCGAGAACGCGCATTTCTAACAAGCTTCCAGGTAACACTGAGTTGCTGTTCTGCACTCTGAGAACCACTGTTGAAGATATAATTAACCATGCACTCTAACTCAGAAGAAATAACTGAAACATATGTTCACAGCAAAACCATTCACCCAAATGACTCTACTGTTAAGATCAGGACATCACAGCTCAAAATACTGTGCACATGTGTGTCTGCATGTGTGCTCACATGCACACAGTTTTTACAAAGAGGTAAAGCAGTAAAAGTTTCTGCCCTCCATTTTCACTCCTACCATATCTTTTGTCCTTTTGGCTTAAAAGTTATAGGACTAAATATAATAGCGATACAAGGAAGCCTTAGTCTAATGATATATTTTCCCCAAAGCTAGGTAAAAAGAAACAAAGTCGTTGGTTTATATTTCAATTCTATTCAAGAAAAGCATGGGGGACACTTCATGTAATAAGCCTGGCAATGGCCACGACTGCTCTTCTAATGTAATTTTGGAATCTGATAATTTATAATGAGAGAAAACTGTTTTTCCCTAGCTT